CTCACAGTGCTCCTCCTCACGGCGCCCCTCCTCACGGCGCTCCTCCTTACGGTGCTCCTCCTCCTCCTCACAGCGCTTCTCCTTAGGGTGCTCCTCACGTGTGGGCGGCCCCAGGGCCTGGCCCTCCCATGCCCGCCTCCTGGCCTTTAAGGGTCTCTACTACCGGCATGCCTACTCTTAGGAAACAGTGCTCCTTTGCTTATTCTTTTCCTTTTCCACAAGTCCACCTACCTTTCCGTGTCCACCCAGAGGTGGCAGAAAACCTCCACCACCTCCCATTTCTGTGGCACACCCACTTCCCCTTCCAGTTGCTTCCTTCTCATGGCAGTTCCTGCCACCTGCTTTGCTTACGCCAAGCTGGCAGAGCAGAATTTGTGGCCCAGGCCACAGATCCTTGAGGGGTACAAGGCCAGCCAGATGCTAGGAGTTCCTTGACATACCCTCCTGCCCCCCACCCCCTTCCCTGACTCTAGCTACCTGCTCAGCCCCTTCCATCCTGCTGGAGTCAGATTGTTACCTGGCACATGCATCCTGGAGGACCTGTGGATTAATATTCTCCAGCCGCCTTTGCTTTCTGCTTATATGGAAACACAGCTGTGTGGCAGTGCCGCCGGCCACCCGCGCCTGCATACCAGCGGGGCTGCGGCGCTCTGCAGCGCAGGACCCAGCATCTCTGCTGCAGTGCAGGCGGCGCCCTGGGGGGTTGCCCTGCCTGAAACCAGGCTCTCACGGCAGGGCTCTTTTGCAAGTGAAGCCAGCAGTGCTGGCGGCACTTCCAGCCTGAGGCATGATTATGTGCTGGGAGCCAGGAGTGCTTGGACCCTTCCCCGGGCGGGTGACATCCGGCTCCCACAGCCCCGGCCCTGCTGGGAGCAGCAGGTTGAAGCCCGTCCGTCCGCCTCTTGGCTGAGCCCTCAGAGTGCCATGGGCCAACCCAGCCTTGCCTGGAACAGATAACTTTTCAGCCAGCTTGGGGCCCTGCTGAGCCTTTCCAAGGCTGGGGAGACCCGAGGCTGACTGCTGGCTCTTTGCTGCCCCCCTGCTTTTTGCAGCCTGGGATGAGGTTGGCTATCTTCAGAAAAGCCTGCTGTGGTTTCCAAGGGCCCTTCTTCCTGGTGCCAGGGCAGAACAGGGGCTGGGAGGGAAGAGAGAGAGAGAGACTGTGTGTGTGTTTAACCCCACCCTTCTGGCCACATCTGGCCACTCTTGTAGATGTGGCTCTGGCCTCGTGGCCGCAGAGTCGTCAGTGTGGCTGGCGGGCAAACCACAGAGGAATGTGCCTAGCTATGCTCCGGGAGAGGGGGCTGGTGGAGCTGAGCGAGCCTGCTCTGGCTTTACCTTTCCACCTCCACCTCCAGGGGGGCCCAGAGCCAGTGTTCCGGAACCCTCCTTGGTGACACTCAGTGTGGGCTCTCCGGAGAGGTCCAGGCCCATAGACTGCATGGGGATGGCTCACGTAGCTCAGCTGTTAGCCACCCCCTACCACCCCCGCCTCCTCCTCCGCCCCTGATGAGGCGCAGTGGAAGTGGTCTGGCAGAGACCCACTCCGCAGCAGGAGCCAGCAGGAGCCATCAGGAAGGGGAGACCCTTCTCCGGACCCCGCCACCTCCCTGGGGTGTCGTGAGGAAAGAGGGCTTTCTTTGGAGAAAGAAATGGAAAAGAGCAAAATGGTTAGCCCGCCGCTCCCACTTCCTCCTTCCAGGGGGCTGGTAGCCTGCCTTCCTCTTCCTGCTGGTGCCAGGAGGCTTTGTGGGGTGCAAGCTGGGCTTGGGCTCCCTGTTGGCTTGGCATTTGCCCAGTTGCCCTGGCACCCACTGGGGAGGGGCGGGGAGTGACATCCAGTGACCAGAGGACAGTACATAGGGATGAAGAGGCCAAGACCCAGCCTTTCTGAACGTCCAGTGGAGCTTTTTGCTGCCCCTGCTCTGTGGGTCTATCTCCACTAGAAGCCCGGGACCCAGGGAATGAAAGCCCAGCGCCCCTGCACCCTCCCCAGAAGGCTGCTTGGGACTGAGCCCTGAGCACTCTCAGCTCCAGCCGCGCCTTACCTCTTCCTGTCTGATTCCCTCTCCTTTCCTGTCTCCTCTTCCACCTCCTCCCCGTGCCTGCCGCCCATTCTCTCTTTCCCCCTCCCCCTGGGCACAGCTGCTGTTTGGCTCACTCTATATATAGCGGCATTTTCAGGGTAATTACAATAAAACTGTTGAAAGGAGATAATCCTGCAAAGGAAGTGAGTCTGACTCCCAGCCCCCTCCTGTCCCCCGTTTGGTGTAGCCCTGCACCCCCTTTCCCTGGGGCCTCCTACTCCCACCCTTCCCGCCCCCTTCCCATAGCCCCTTGCTCCTGCCCCATCAGCCCCAGCTGGGTATGGGGCAGAGAAAGGGGAGAGGGCAGAGTGTAGAGCATTGGGCATTTCCCCACGGCCTCCTGAGGGCCCTGGCTGCCAGTCCTATCAGTTCCAGCGCCAGGCTGGTTTATGTAGGCTTCCTGGGCTGTGCGGGGAAGGAGGTGCAGGCAGGCAGCAGCTAAATCACAGGATTCGCATCCCTCTTGGTTGCCACCTGCCCTGTGTGGTCAGTTACTTTGATCCCCCTAAACGCCGGTTTCCTTGTTGGTGAAGTCACTGGCGCGGATGCCCAGTGACCGTAACTGTCCACGGCAGTGTCCCTTGCGAGCGCTCAGCCTTCCAGGTATTGTCCTTCAGGCTTCCACGGAATTTGTTACTGAAGTTCATGGCTTTGCCCTTAATTAGGCGGAGGCAGTGTCTGTGGAGCAGAGCTTGACTGCTGCTCTCTGTGGGGCCAGTCGCCCTGCTGGCTGCTTCCTGGGCCCCGGGCATGACTTTTCCAGGCCTGCGGGGTGTGCGATTGGGCGCACTGACCCCTTTTGGTTTCTTCTTCCCACAGTGGAGGTGAAGCCTGTGCTGCCAGGAGCCATGCCCAGCTCCATGGGGGGCGGGGGTGGAGGCAGCCCCAGCCCTGTGGAGCTGCGGGGGGCTCTGGCAGGCTCTGTGGACCCCGCGCTTCGGGAGCAGCAACTGCAGCAGGAGCTTCTGGCGCTCAAGCAGCAGCAGCAGCTGCAGAAGCAGCTCCTGTTTGCCGAGTTCCAGAAGCAGCATGACCACCTGACGCGGCAGCATGAGGTCCAGCTGCAGAAGCACCTCAAGGTGAGCGAGGGGGGTGCGGGGGGGCCACCCGGACCTCTGACCCCCGCCCGGACCTGGCTCACCCTGCGCCCTGCAGCAGCAGCAGGAGATGCTGGCAGCCAAGAGGCAGCAGGAGCTGGAGCAGCAGCGGCAGCGGGAGCAGCAGCGGCAGGAGGAGCTGGAGAAGCAGCGGCTAGAACAGCAGCTGCTCATCCTGCGAAACAAGGAGAAGAGCAAAGAGAGTAAGGCTGGGCGCTCTGGGGCCTGCGGGCCTCTGCCTTCTCCCCTCCCCCAGGCAGTGGGCTCTGGCCCCAAGCCCCCGGGTCAGCTGTGCCCTACCCTGCAGGTGCCATCGCCAGCACTGAGGTGAAGCTGAGGCTCCAGGAATTCCTCCTGTCCAAGTCAAAGGAGCCCACGCCCGGCGGCCTCAACCATTCCCTCCCACAGCATCCCAAATGCTGGTAATGGCCTGGGCAGGCGTGGGTCACAGAGGTCCCCTGCTTGGGGGCTCCACAGCTGCGGGAATGGCGCGGGGCTCCTGCCTGTAGCCTCATATGGGCCCCGCAGGAGCTGAGGTTCCCACCCTGGGGTCTCTCTTTGCTTTCTTCCTCTGGGTCCTGTTTGCATCCTTACGTGCAGCAGGTATTTCATACACGTATATGGCAGGTGGCAGGTGCGCTGGCTGGGTGATAACCTAGATCTTTTTCCATCCCCATCCCTTACCCCAGGGGAGCCCACCATGCTTCTTTGGACCAGAGTTCCCCTCCCCAGAGCGGCCCCCCTGGGACGCCTCCCTCCTACAAACTGCCTTTGCTTGGGCCCTATGACAGCCGAGATGACTTCCCCCTCCGCAAAACAGGTGAGTGAGGGCCCGGCCAGCCTCCCAGCTCCCGGGTCTGGCTCTGTGGGGGGTGAGGGGGGAACCATTCCTCAGGCAGGGCTGTGCTGGCAGGTGGGTCTTCCCGAGGGCTGGGCTGCAGGTGGAGGGGTCTGAGCCCCAGCTGTTTTTTTCCCAGCCTCTGAACCCAACTTGAAAGTGCGTTCGAGGCTAAAGCAGAAGGTGGCGGAGCGAAGAAGCAGTCCCCTTCTGCGTCGCAAGGATGGGACTGTCATTAGCACCTTCAAAAAGAGAGCTGTTGAGATCACAGGCGCTGGGACTGGGGGTAAGGTCTTTCCCGTCCCTGTTCTGGGGGCCGGGGGGGGGGTGGCTCCAAGCAGGCCCAGGTGACGCCCCTTCTCCTGCAGTGTCATCCGTGTGTAACAGCGCGCCTGGCTCTGGCCCCAGCTCTCCCAACAGCTCTCACAGCACCATTGCTGAGAATGGCTTTACTGGCTCAGTCCCCAACATCCCGACCGAGGTACAGGCTGCAGGGCTGGGCTGGGTGGGCCAGAGCTGCTCCCTTCCCCTTGGAAGGAGGAGGGCAGCTCCAGTCTGCTCCCTAAGAGCGTCCATGGGCACCTCTCTGCTGCTGCGCAGGCTAGGGGGGCCTTTAGCCTAAAGTGGGGTTGTCCCATGGTCTTCTGAAGGGCTCTGAATTTCCAGTACTCAACCCCCCCACCAAGGTGGTCATTTGTGGGGGGAGTGGGGCACCATTCAGAGCCTCTGTCCTTGGCCCTACGTAGCCCCCCTTTACCTGCTCTCATGCCTGTCTCTCCCGACTGCTCCCCAGATGCTCCCCCAGCACCGGGCCCTCCCTCTGGACAGCTCCCCCAACCAGTTCAGCCTCTACACGTCTCCCTCTCTGCCCAACATCTCCCTAGGGCTGCAGGCCACGGTCACTGTCACCAACTCGCACCTCACCGTAAGTACGGGGCAGTAGGCTGTCCTCCCTGTGGGGTCACGGTCCTCGGCCCTGGCTGCCCCTGTGGAGCTTTTGCTCTCGCAAAGCCCCAAGGGAGATGAGCTCAGAGGGCCTCCTCAGAGCTGCTGGTGGGCAGAGGGCAGGTGAGGGGTGCTGGCCCGAGGTGGGTGGGGCTGGGGCGGTTTGAGCCCCTCCTTTATCGCCCTCTCCTTCCCACCTCCTCAGGCCTCCCCGAAGCTGTCGACGCAGCAGGAGGCCGAGAGGCAGGCCCTCCAGTCCCTGCGGCAGGGTGGCGCGCTGACGGGCAAGTTCATGAGCACGTCTTCCATCCCTGGCTGCCTGCTGGGCGTGGCACTGGAGGGCGACACCGGCCCCCACGGGCACGCCTCGCTGCTGCAGCACGTGCTGCTTCTGGAGCAGGCCCGGCAGCAGAGCACCCTCATCGCAGGTAAGCGGCTGGGAAGCCGAGGGAGGGGCGCAGTCTGCTCTTCTGGGGAGTCGAGGAAAGGCCCCTGGAGGAGAAACAGCCAGGGACGCCCCGGCCTGTCGCAGGCACCCTGGCTCCCCCGCGCGTGCCCGGCGCTGCCGTCGGAGGGCGCTGCCTCCCTGGAGCTCAGTCCCAGAGCAGTGCTGTCTGGTAGAAATACAGCAGCAACCGGAGATGCAATCTGGAGTTCTCTAGTAAATGCTAAAATGTGAAGCGAAGCCAGTGAAATTCAGCTGAATAAAATGCACTTAGCTCTTCCTATCTATGGGTGTCATTTCAGTGTAGAGTCAACAGAGTTTTATCGGTGAGATAGTCCCTCTGGCTTTCACGCGGTCCTTGTAATCTGGTGTTTCTCCCAGAGCTCACCTCAGGTGAGACAGGCCTCATTTCCAGGACCCGGTCGTCACACACAGCTGGCAGCTGTGGGCTTGGACGGGACAGTTTTGGACAGGAAGGCTGGCTGGTGGCAGTGCCTCTGAGCTCTGACACTGTTAAGTTTTGGGAAGGTTTGGGGGTATGGTGCTCCAGGCCCGCCCCACACTTTTCCTGAGTGTGAGTGGCAGTATCCTGGCAGGGAGAGTCAGGGCAGAATGTTCCAGGGGTTGGGTGACCTGGTACCCGACAGTGACGCTCACCCTTCTTCCACCCCCCACAGTGCCGATCCACGGGCAGTCCCCACTGGTGACCGGCGAGCGCCTGGCCACCAGCATGCGGACGGTGGGCAAGCTCCCGCGGCACCGGCCCCTGAGCCGCACTCAGTCCTCGCCACTACCCCAGAGCCCCCAGGCCCTGCAGCAGCTGGTCATGCAGCAGCAGCACCAGCAGTTCCTGGAGAAGCAGAAGCAGCAGCAGCTGCAGCTGGGCAAGGTGAGCCTGGAGAAGCAGATGCTGACAGCCGGCAGGGCTGGGGGCTGGCACCCCAGGAGACTCCCTGCCTCCTCTGCTCAGAGGAGAGGCCTTGTCTTTTCCCAGCTCCCACAGAAGCTCTGCCAGCCAGGAGAGGGGCGGGAAGGGTGCGACTTCTCGGGCCACAGGCTCCCTGTACCCCTGAGGTGCCCTTCCGTTCTACCCCCAGATCCTCACTAAGACAGGGGAGCTGTCTCGGCAGCCTACCACCCACCCAGAGGAGACAGAGGAGGAGCTCACTGAGCAACAAGAGGCCTTACTGGGTGAGGGAGCCTTGACCATACCCCGAGAAGGCTCCACAGAGAGTGAGAGCACACAGGAAGATCTGGAGGAGGAGGAGGAGGACGAGGAGGACGAGGAGGAAGAGGACTGCATCCAGGTCAAGGACGAGGAGGGCGAGAGTGGCACTGAGGAGGGGCCTGATTTGGAGGAGTCCAGCTCTGCTTACAAAAAGGTGCCTCCTGCGCCCCTGGTCACCACCCGGCCCTCCCCCTCCCTCCAGCCTGCAGTTCCCTGCGTGTGGGAGCAGCTTTCTTACCAGGCCGAGGAGTAGGGAAGAGGCCCGGGGTCTCGGCTGTCCTAGCTCCAGTCTGCCAGCCACTCCTTGCGCGGTGCCCGCCCCCGCCTGCTTGTGCGTGTGAGAGTGTGTGTGTGTGCACACGCACGTGGCCTGTGTGTATCTGCGCTTCGTCTGCGCGGGCCGGCCGTGCGTCGTCTGCGTGCTTGTGCGTGTACACACACACCCACTGCTACTACCGTCTGCCTTGCGCCTAGTGCTCTTCCATTCATCGCGGACAGCAGAGCCCTCCAGGCCTGACTCATCCGCCCTCCCACAACCCCTCCCAGCCTCTTACCTCAATGCTGCTCTGCTGTGACTCACCAGTCCCCCCACTAATCTCTGGAAGATGGCTGGGCTGGAGCCTTGGTCCCCAGAGGGAGGTGGGGGAAGGAGGCTTGGAAGAACAGGACTGGACTGGGGCCCTCTGGAGGGGCCAGGGCACCTGTCCGCGCTTCCTTCTCAGGCTCAGCCTTATCCGGGCTCCCTTCCACGCTCTCCTGCCCAGGTGTTCTCAGAAGCCCAGCAGCTGCAGCCTCTGCAAGTGTACCAGGCTCCACTCAGCTTGGCCACTGTGCCCCACCAGGCGCTTGGCCGCACCCAGTCCTCACCTGCTGCCCCCGGGGGCATGAAGAGCCCCCCAGACCAGCCCACCAAACACCTCTTCACCACAGGTGAGTCTCACTACCTGTGGCTATCCTCCCGTCAAACATCAGGGGCCTGTGCGTGGCATCCCTGGAGGGCTCTGGTTCTAAGGGAATCCTGCCCCGAGGGCACGCTGAGGCAGGAAAGTCTTTGCCGGGGTCACTGCCGAGGACCACCTGATTCCACACTGCATAAGCCCAGGTGGAGAGCCCACGTTCTCACTCGGGCCTGCCCTCCTGGCTCCCTTCCTTCCTCCTGTGAGGTCAGGAGCGAGGCCTCTGTCTGTTCCCGAAGGCTCTGCATGAGCTGCCCTGGGCTGGGCTCCGAGGGGCACAGGCGCCGAGGGTGGCTGTATCTCAGGCGGGGCTGTGGCATGTGGGGGGGCACTGGACTGTGACAGGATGGGGGCTGAACAGGCTGTGTGGGTGGAGGACAGTGAGGGGGCGTGGCAGAAATCAAAACCGGTGGGGGCGTGAACGGTGGCCTCATCGAGGGCTGAGCAGCAGGGAGATTTTGGACAGGCAGTAATGGAGGAAAGGAATTTCAGGAGTCAGGCCGTGGCGGGCCAGGTGGCCAAGAAGCGGGACTCGGGGTGGTGGGTGAGGGGCGCTCAGCGGGCTCCAGGCCGCAGCAGGGCCCGGAGCAGTGCTGGCTGACAGGCATTTCCCTCGGCCCAGGTGTGGTCTACGACACATTCATGCTGAAGCATCAGTGCATGTGTGGGAACACACATGTGCACCCCGAGCATGCTGGTCGGATCCAGAGCATCTGGTCCCGGCTGCAGGAGACAGGGCTGCTTAGCAAGTGTGAGGTAAGAGCCCCTCCTGCCTCCAGCACCCCCAGCCCAAACCCAGTGGAAGCTGTCCTGTCTCCCCTGCTGGGAGAGCCACTCTCAGCGTCTCTCCCTTGTCTTCTCTCCAGCCCCTCTCCTCAGGCCCATCCCCAAGGGACTTCTCAGTTCTCTGCCTTCTAGCCCATATGTACCGCCCCCCCCCCAAGTTGGATGGGGCGGGGCCTGGACTGAGTCCCTGGGGGCCCAGGGAATGCTTTCTTAAAAATCCTTGCATCTCCCAAGGCCAGACAGGCTGTGGGGCAGAGGGAGGATCTGGGCAGTGGGCGAGCTGGGCCTTCTGGGCCCCCCCTTACTGGCTTCTCCTCCTGCCCCACCTGGCAGCGGATCCGGGGTCGTAAAGCCACATTGGACGAGATCCAGACGGTTCACTCCGAGTACCACACCCTGCTTTACGGGACCAGCCCCCTCAACCGACAGAAGCTGGACAGCAAGAAGCTGCTTGGTGAGTTGGCAATGCCTGTGGCGGGGTGTGGGCCAGGCTGGGTCGGTCCTGCCAGGTAGGATAAGGGGCTGTCAGGAAGGCCGCCCAGCCAGGGTTAAGTTGTGGGTCCACGGGTGCAGGCCACATTGCATATGGATGGGGGCGCCCCCTTCCCCCATCAGGGGCTGGTCCTCAGTGGGGGGCTGAGGAGGGCTAAGGCCAAAGGCCAGGGTGCGGTTCACGTGAAGCTCAGCGTGAGCAGAGCGTGCTGGTGGGGGCATCCAGCGGGAGCAAGGTGACAGCTCCGGGTTGGTGATGGGGGAGAGCTTTGCCCTTCCCAGCTCGTCACCCATCTCCCTGCCCTGTGACCTAGGGTTGGATGTCTCTCCAGAGGAGCTCCAAGTGGTGTGGGCTGCAGAGGCCTGTCCCGTGTTTGGGCCGGCTGGTGTTTCTTGACTGTGCTCGCTGCCCTCTGCAGACCCCAGACTGCAGCCCTGGCAGTTGAGGCACTTTCCAGAGTAGCTCTGTCCTTCTTCCCTGCAGGCCCCATTAGCCAGAAGATGTACGCCATGCTGCCTTGTGGGGGCATAGGGGTGAGTAGGGCACCTGCCAGCGGGGGGTGAGCGGCGCTCCTAGCACCGGGCCCTCCCATCCTGACCCCCATGGCTCTGGCCCACTGTCCAGGGCCCACCCGTCTTGCCCTCCCCCTCCAGGGGGCATGCTGAAGCCCGCTCCCCTGCCCCCGCAGGTGGACAGTGACACCGTGTGGAACGAGATGCACTCCTCCAGTGCCGTGCGCATGGCGGTGGGCTGCCTGGTGGAGCTGGCCTTCAAGGTGGCAGCGGGGGAGCTCAAGGTGTGTGTGTGCGCCAGGTGCCCGGGTGCAGCTGGGCCTGGTCCTCAGGAGCGGAGGACAAGGGCAGCCTTGGCCTTACTCTCAGCAAGGCTCTGTCCTCTGCAGCCTTAGCTCGAAGGCCCAGAGTGGGTCGGGGCTGGGCCAGCGGGGCCTAAGGAGTAAAGAGGGACCTGCAGCGAGGCACTGGTATCCGGGCCCACGGATACCAGTCTTGGGGCCAGAGCCGTCTGCCTGCCCGTGTGGCCTGCACACATCTGTCAGGGTGTGGGCGCATCTGTGCTTTCTGCGTTCTCACCCCTGCCTGGCTTATGCTTCTCACCTTCTCTGTCCACCCACTCTGGTCCTCCTGCCTTCCTGTCTGTATCTCTTCAGAATGGATTTGCCATCATTCGACCCCCAGGACACCATGCTGAGGAGTCCACAGCCATGTGAGTGGTTCCGCCCTGCACTGGGGTCACTGCCGCCCCTTTCCTCCCTCCCCCTGAGCTCATCTGCACGGTGCTTTAAGACTAACCCTGCCCTTTACCTCCTGCCCCCAGGGGATTCTGCTTCTTTAACTCTGTAGCCATCACAACCAAACTTCTGCAGCAGAAGCTCAACGTGGGGAAGGTTCTCATCGTGGACTGGGTGAGCAGACTGCTGGTGGGCGTGCTCAGCCTTCGGAAGCCCCTTCCCCACCCTGATCTCCAGACCGCTTCTCGGGCACCTGCCGGCCCTGGGCCTGGTGATGCCCCAGCATCCTCCGGCCAGAGCCTTACATCCCCCAGGAGCTCCCTCCTCACAGGGGAGACCTGAAAGTGGTTTTAGTCCTGGCCCATCTCGGCCCACCTTGCAGCCTCGAGCAGCTGCGGGCTTGCCCTGCCTCCATTGCTAGGCCATTCTCCACTGGGCTGACCCCGCGCCAGGACCGGACTGGAATCTGACACGTGGCGTTGCTCACGGCCGCTTGGAGAAGTGGGGTGTCCACTTCCACGAGCAGAGGCGCTGAGCTGCTGGATAGCGGCCCCGCCCAGGCCGCTTAGCCGGGGCTGTCGGCTGCGGGCGGCAGCTCAGGCCTTTTTGGCTCCGACACGTCTGCTCTTGCTCCTACACAGTGCTGGTCAAACCCTGCCTCTCATGGCAGAGGAAAGGCCCCACCACCCAGTGAGCTGGGGAAGTAGCAGGAGCACTCCTCAGCCAGGAGGGAATCTCTGAAGCCCAACTTTGGCTTCAAAATTCATGTAAATGCTGGATTCTTCTTCAGAATGTATTGTCTGTTCCACCTCCCGACTTGCTTGCGTGTTCCCTCCACACCGCGAGTGGAGCGGGCTCCGCAGGGCGGGCTGCTGTGGCTTTGCGTCCCCCTGTGCCGTGGCGTCACCTCCCAGGCCCGCAGGCCCCGGCCAGAGAGGCGTGGGCTGACGTGGTGAACGGAAACAGACGTCCTGGGTCGTGGCCGTCCCGGAGCTCACCGGAGGGTCGGGGTGGGCAGCGGAGTGTGGCCTCAGGGCCAGCGCCTGTGCTATCTTCCTGACGCTCCCCACCCCTGCAGGACATCCACCACGGCAACGGCACCCAGCAGGCCTTCTACCACGACCCCTCTGTGCTCTACATCTCCCTGCATCGCTATGACAACGGGAACTTCTTTCCAGGCTCTGGGGCTCCTGAAGAGGTACAGCTCCTGGGCTCACACTCAGGGCCCCTCGGGGAGGGAGCAGAATGGGTCCTGGCAGGGAGCCGTGGAGGCCCGTGGTGGTACTGGGGTCTCGGGAGTTGAGGCTCGTAGTGGAGGACCACACCGCCAACTGCCCCTCCAGGTAGAGTAGAGGTCAGTGGAGCGAGGGCTGGAGGAGGGGCTGGGGGGGCAATGCTGGGGATCCCCAGGCAGTGAGAATAACCCCTCCCCCACCCTGGTGCCAGGTTGGCGGAGGGCCGGGCGTGGGGTACAATGTGAACGTGGCATGGACGGGAGGTGTGGACCCCCCCATCGGAGACGTGGAATACCTAACGGCCTTCAGGTGGGGACTGAGAAGGGCCAAGGGCAGGGTGGGAGAGCCCCCACTCCCCTCTGGGCCCTGCCACGGGAAGGGTAGAAGGCTCTCAGTTCTTCTGGGCGGAAGGGCTTGTCTCTGGGGGAGGGGTGTGCAGCGTGTGGTGAGGCCTGGCCGCCGCCGAGGTCAGCTTGGGCCATCCCTTTGCAGGACAGTGGTGATGCCCATTGCCCACGAGTTCTCACCGGATGTGGTCCTCGTCTCCGCCGGGTTTGATGCTGTTGAGGGGCACCTGTCTCCGCTGGGTGGCTACTCCGTCACTGCTAGATGTGAGCTGTGGGGATGAGGGGTGCCGGGCGCAGCAGGGTGGGTCGGGGGAGGCCGTGGGGCAGGGACAGGCTGATGCTTTGAGGATTGGGGGCAGGTCCAAGACTTGGGGTCATCCTTGCAGTGCCCTCCTGCAGACTTGGCCTTGAGGGGCCAGCAGGTGCGGGTGGATCCCCTCCTGGAGTCAGAGAGGGAGCCGGGCCTCCTTTTCAGTGGTGTCCCTTACAGTTGAACTTTGCCTGTTACATTTTGTCTTTAGTGTGCCATTCAGTGAGCTGAGTTTTATGGAAGTGAATTTGCATTTAAATCTTCCATCTTATCTTGTGCTGTCTCACCTCCTACATTTTTCTTTTTCCTTTTCTTGAATGGTTGGGTTTAACCACTCCACCTTCCTCCCTTTACCCCTCCCTAAAGGTTTTGGCCACTTGACCAGGCAGCTGATGACGCTGGCAGGGGGCCGGGTGGTGCTGGCCCTGGAAGGAGGCCATGATTTGACCGCCATCTGTGATGCCTCTGAGGCCTGCGTATCAGCTCTGCTCAGCGTGGAGGTGAGGGGTAAAAGGGGGCACTGGGGGAGGACGGGAGAGCCCCTTTCGGGGTCAGGCAGCCCCAGACGCCCTTGGCAAGGTTCTCCTGGGTCCTCAGGACATTGGGTGGCCACAGAGGCCCTTCTGAGTAGGGCTTCCTCCAGGAAGGCTGGTCTCCATCCCAAGTGATGCCTGGAGCTGACTGGGGATGGCTAGAGCTGCCCTGACCACCGCACCACCCCCGACCCTAAGCCTTCTCTACTTTCTCCCACCAGCTGCAGCCCTTGGATGAGGCAGTCTTGCAGCAAAAGCCCAACGTGAATGCAGTGGCCACGCTAGAGAAAGTCATCGAGATCCAGAGTGCGTGGGGACCGGCAGAGGGGCGGAGCACGAGGGGATGCCAGGATTGGGGGTGGACATATGGGAGTTTCCACCCACCCTGACCTCCTGTCTTCTCCAGGCAAACACTGGAGCTGTGTGCAGAGGTTTGCTGCTGGTTTAGGCCGTTCTCTGCGGGAGGCCCAGGCAGGTGAGACGGAGGAGGCCGAGACTGTGAGCGCCATGGCCTTGCTGTCGGTAGGGGCCGAGCAGGCCCAGGCTGCTGCAGCCCGGGAGCACAGCCCCAGGTAAGGTCCCCCACACCTCTCTGCCCTGGCCTCAGCCAGTGCACCCCCTTCCTGCTCAGTGTCCTTCCCTGTGCTTGTCCCTACAGGCCAGCAGAGGAGCCCATGGAGCAGGAGCCTGCCCTGTGACACCCTGGCCCCCATCCCTCTGGGCTTCATCATTGTGATTTTGTTTATTTTTTCTATTAAAAACAAAAAGTCACACATTCAACAACGTGTGCTGTGTGGGTCTCTCAGCCTCGCCCCTCCTGCTCCTTTCAGCTGCCTCAGGCCCCCGGTTCCGTGGCCCACTTCCCAGCTATAGAAGTATGCTCTCCTGAGGGGCAGGGGTATCCTCTTCTTCCGTGCCCCCCCACCCCCCGCCCCGCCCCGTGGAGCCCTCATTCACTGTCTTGCATCCTGTCCTCTTCCCCCTTGGAGCCTAGGCTAGCCGAGGGCCGGCACGGGGCCTAGACTGTACCTTCTGGTTTTCGGGTCTCCTTGAGTGAGAACAGTGTTCGGTGCCTGGGCTGCAGCTAACTTGAGGGGCATTGCCTTAATTTCCCCCTCCTCCCCACTCCAGCCTCAGGGAGGATCCCGAGGGCCCCTCTACAGTGGAAGATGTAGAGTGGTGGGGAGGTGGGCTCCGCCCTGCGGTTCTCTGCCCTTTATCCCTCTGCTGTCCCCCGGTCTCTGCAGGCCCCTTCCCTCTTTCCTACTGGCCCCAGCGCTAAGGGGGCGCTTGTGCCCTAGGGTGTGGGCCTGAGGTCTGCGGGCAGCGCTCTCTGGCCTCGCACTCCTCAGGGCCTGTCTCCCCTTCCCAGGGCTGTGGGGAAGTCTGTGGGGAAGGCCTAGAAGCTCAGAGCCAGACCTGCTCTCCACCTTACTGTTGGCTTCCTTGCCCCTCTGCTCGCAGGAGTTGGGGAGGGGGAGAAGGTGGTCCCTGCAGGGGGGCTCCTGGCTGGTGAGAGCCCCCCTGCTGTTCAGGACCAGATTTCCCCAGCCACCCAGCACTGCGGGTAGATGGGCTGCGGCCCAGCTCCCTCCTGAAGCCTTTTGCTTTGAAGCCTGGGGACGGTGAGGGGCCCAGTTCTAGAAGGGGAAGGGTCAAGCCCAGGAACTCAGGAGTCTGCCCTCAGCTAGGTGACCCTTCCTCCTGGGTGCCCTTTGCTGGTCAGCAGCCCAAGGGAGCTAAGAGCAGGAGGGGCTGGGCCCTGCCCTTTCTCTGTCCTGGGGGCCCCACTGAGCCCTTCCCGGATTCTTCTAAGGGATGGTGTCAGCCTGCAGAAAACCAAAGATGGGAAGCGGCTCCTAAGGGCTGAGTCTTCCTCTCTCCGACTCCCGCACTACATATTCATCCTTTTCTCCAGCCCCAGAACCCCACCAATCTGTTTACATATTTATTACCCTAATGGGGGCCTGAGCAGGGTTGAGGGAGCCAGGGGAGGGGCCGGAGTCCCACCGCCATTGGTTCATTGTGCGCTTGTGTCTTGTGTGTTGTATGTTCTAGATTCTCCTGGGGGACAGGGATGGGGCTAGGCCCGGTGGACCAGGCCCCCCCACGCTGAGCTCCAGCTCCAGGCCCCTTGCCCGCCCTCCCCCACGGCTGGTCTGTTTCTCATGTAAACCCACTCCTTGCTTTGTTTCCCTGGATATGGATTTCAGTTAAGTATTTTGTAACCTGTTATATTGTGTGTCCTTGTGTAAATAAACTTGTTTCTGGCAGTGGCTTCTGGGGCCAGTGTCTGTTCTCTGGGGTTCCCAAATGGAATACAGGTTCTCATTCGCATTCCTAGCCAAAAAAAAAACAAACACCTGTTCTTTGTTTCTCGGGCCCTGGACCAGCCACTTTAGGAAGCAGAAGGCCAGGGCCGGAGGCAGCTGCCCACAGGTGAAAGAGCTCACACTGACCGTCTCAGGACCTGTTGTGTGGTGAGGAGGGCCCCAGGCCTGAAAGTCTCGCTAAGTGTGCCGTCATCTCCTTTCCCTGGGACTCTGCTCTGTGGAGATGGGGAGCTGCGCAGGCAGCCTGCAAGGGCGCCCCTCACAGGCAGGGTCGGTGGAAATGTGCACACAGGCATGAAAGAAACCCACGAGTGTTCAAGGGCTTTATTGGGCCACTCTGGGCCCCTCAGGTGCAGGAACCCACCAGTCTTGCTTTTGTCCCTTGGGGACCAGGGAGGGGAGGCAGGAGGAGGATCAGCATCTCTGGGGCTAAAATCAGTTGGTGGGAGAAGAGGGAAATTCAAGATGAGCTGGGCCTGTTGGAGGCTGGAGGGTGGGGCTGCCTCCTGGAGTGTGGCGACCATGGACTTGCTTTGGGGAGGAAAAGTGGCATCTGACGTTAGGAAGAGCGAATGGGGGGTGTATCCTGGGCACTGAATGTGTGCACTACCCAGGGCACCAGGGCCAGGACCAGGCATGGCCAGAGGGTGTACTTGAGGAAATTGAAGATATAGAAAAGGCTGATCTGAGGTGGGTGGCCCAGCCAGTCCAGGGGGCCGAGCAGCCCCATAGCCAGCACAAAGCAGGCTATCTTTTGGCCATTTCCCAGGTATGCCCGCCGTATCTGGGCATAGCAGGGTGAGTGCAGGGCGATGCCCAGACCCAGGGCGGCCCCTGAGTCCCGGCTCAGGGAAGCAAAGGGCCTGCTGTCCACATGCACCCACTCAGGCCGCTCACACCACTTGGAGGCTAGGTTGATGGACCTGTGGAGAGGAGGGGTCTTTGCCAGGAGGGATGTTCGCCTGGAACTACTGGGCTCATTGCTTTTAGCTCCTTTGGGGCCTCCCCAACGATCTGCTGTGACCCCAGCAAAGTCCACCTTTGTGAACAGGTAATGTACCTCTTCTTCGCTACAACAAACTAGAGCTCCATTAGGCTAGATGTGGGCGAGGCCTTAGCCTGTGCAAGCTTCAAAGCAGGACTTACCAAGAAAGATCGAGGCCCAGCGTGAAGAGGGTCCAGTAGATGAGGCTGGCACCCAGCAAAAGAGCTAGTGAGGTCAACCCATAGAAGCTTAGCTCCCGCTCCATAGGAACCCGGGGGGACATCAGCCAGCCAAGAACAGCACCTAGGGGAGCGAGGCGATAGTAGTTTCAGGGAGTTTGCGCTATGGCTCCCCGAGCTGCAGTGCAGACTGGCCAGAGAACAGATGAGACGCAGGGAGGGGGCCTGGGCCAGGCGATGGGAAGATCCAATACTGGTCTGGCCAGTAGCACCCTCTGGGCCACCCGGTTACCCAGTTGCTCACCAGTTATCAGGCCACCCAAAACCTGGTGAGGGAAGTGTGCTAAGAGGAAGATCCGGGAGAGGCCGACCGCTAGCAGGAAGGTGCAGTAAGCCAGGCTAGGTATCACCTTCACCCAGTGGCTAAAAAGAGAGGCAAATGGTTTAGGGGTGTCCATACACAGCTTCACTGCCCTCAGCACCCAGCACTTCATTATTAGCCCAAATGTCCCAGGATCCCCAGAACTCCAGTTCCCAGCTCCCTCTTGCCGGACCTTTTGGGCCCAGGATACCATCACCCCTGCTCCCACTGGTGGGCAATGCCAGGGTGTACCTGTGGGCCCGGGTGGCCACCTGAGAAGAGAGAGTCGTCATTATGGGCCAGAGGGCTGCTCCCGTAACCATGCAGTGTCCAGAAGGGCTGCCTGCCGAGGGATCCAGAAGCTGGTGAGAGGATGGGGGCGGAAGCCGGGAGCCCCTGGTGGTAGCTCAGCACAGCTGCCTCCCCCTGGTTGAGGAAAGAGCTTTCCCCCAGCGCTGGTCCATAGCTCTCTCTGCCCTGAGCCTGCCTCCACCCTCCCCTCTCCTGAAGCCGCTGTGCCCAGGTTTCTGTCTTCTCTCTTGGTTCTTCTCTAAACAAGATGGGCAGCTGGCACACTGGCATGGGTGCTTGTCTCCCACAATTCTTCTTGGTCTTTTGGGGGCCGGGGGGGAGGTTCTTTGCTTTCTGGGCCAGTAAGTGATTAGGCCATCCTGGCTGCAAAGTACCTGACATGCTCATTGGAACCCTAACTACCCCAGGAAAGGGAGGCTTGAAGCTTCTCACCTGGGCCAGTTTCACAAGAAGAAGGGAACTGGTGAACCTGGGCTGGGGACTGGCTATAGTACCCCGACTCATGGACCCACCAAAAGGGTCTGTCTCCAAAGAGAAACCTGGAAGAACAGATGTGAGATGATATTAGCACATTAGCCAGGGGGCGGGGGGAGGGACCAGAAGGACAGTAGGGATACTCTGGAGGTCCTATCGGATAGGTAAAAAGGGACTTCAATTTTATGCTGTTATCTTGCCATGTTTTTTTTTTTTTTTAGTTGGAACAGGAGAAAGCATTCTATTAAAAAAGTGACAAGGACGCAGGAGCTATGCATGCTGTCTTAGGCACGCGTGTGTGTCTGCGTACACGCGTGTATCCCTGCTCGAGCGTGGGTATGTGCTGTGGTGCCAGGCATCCCAGGCTTACCCTTCCCACTGCAGGGTCAGCTCTCATCCACAGAGAGCCCAGGACCTGGGTCTTTCCCTCCCTCTCAGGCCCTCCTGCTTCCCTCTTCCTGCATTTTCCAAATTCCATCCCGAATTACCTAGGAAACCCTGTTATGCCTGAAAACAGAAGTGGGGAATAGACGAAAAAAAGCTGAAAAAGAATAAGGAATACAAAAGTTCAAAGTCCCCTGGCCTACCAGGTGCTTGGCTGGATGCTGAGAAAGTGTCCAGGCACTGAAGTGCTTGCTATAGGCAGAGAGAGAAAAGGTCTGGAGGGAGCAGAACTTCTGACAGGAAGCCAAGTACAGGGGCCATAAGAAGTACGGACTTGCCTCTCTCCAAAAATGGCGTCTGGTTTACACCTCAGGTGCTCAGCACACAGTATACAGTGAATAGGGGCTTTGGCATAGGAGGGTCATGTCTGATTCTTAGGGTATGGGGAGCATCGAGGCAGGCTTATACTGACTGAGGTGGGGACAGCACAAGCAAAGGGCAATTAGGCAAGAAGGCAATGACTAGGCAATCATTTTTCCGTTGACAGTGGGGATGAAGCCTTGCGAGAGGAGGGAAGGAAAGGAAACTCCCGTTCTGTTTTTCAGCAAGTCATTCCAGCCCACTCAAGTGTCTCCCATGAACCTCCCTCCCCTCCCCTAAGCTGAAGGTAGGGGGGTCCAGCTGCAGGTCCAGCAGAAGGCACAGCTCTCTTCTGCACTTCAGAGAGAAAACAGACTGCGCCAAGAGATAAGCCCCAAGAGCCCCACCCATCTTGAAATTCCTGGCTTCTGAGTCTCAGTGAAGAGCCTGCTAGTGAATGAAGAGGAAACAGAAGACTAAATACTCTCTTGAAGGCAAAGCTTTAGCCCAGAGCTTAACAGACTTCCCTGTGCAGAGGAGTCAACTAGTTCCGTATCTCTGGCCTGGCGCCTGAACCCCAGCATTTCTAGTAAGTTTTCAAGTGCCCCAATGTTGTGGCTCACGGTTCAGGGACCACAACTTAATTTGCATGACTTTTCATTCCTTAGCAACTGGGGTGATGCCCAACACAAAGCATGAATGAGAAGAGGAACGAAAAAGTGGGCTGGGAAGCAGGACTCTGCTACTTAAAGTCATCACAGCTACTTGGTAAAATACAGATTCCAAACCCCTCCCCAGGAGTTTCAAAGCCAGTGCTTTTGAGGTGGGATGGGGTATGTGCATTATAAACATGCCCTGTGGGGGAGGTGTTCAGGTCCAGTGGTCTAAAGAGTAGGACGGGAACTCAGATTTGAGTCCAAGGCACACAATGATGCCCAAAGGGGAAAACTCTGTGTGGGGGAGTGTCTGGAAGGTCTGACAGCCCGAGGGTTCACGGTGGGGCAGCGGGAGGGAGAGGTGCGGGCTTCTGCGGCACCTGGCTGGGAGGTCAGGCTTGCACAGGACGGCCTTGGGGTGGGGGCAGGACACCGGGGGCTTCGCTGTCTCACCACTTGAAGATGAGGTTGAGCCACTCTGTGATGAGGCTGATCCAGAGCACCGCGATGCCCACTCGGCGGGAGGCATAGTAGGTCGCGGGGAAGTAGAAAAGAAAGAGGCTCTTGGGATCGCCCAGAAAGGTGACCCAGAGCCACACGTTCTCCAACCAGGGCAGCTGGTTCTGCAGCGCCTCGGCCATGGCGATGCCCGCCCCTAGCGCGGACTCCATGGCGACCCCGAGGCCCGCCGGGCCGGGCTTGCTCTAGGAGGGGAGCGGAGCCGTCAGGGGGACTGGAAGCCGCGCCCACCGCCTCCCGGAACCCGCGGTTCCCAGCCCCAGGCCCCGCCCAAGCACCGGGGGTTGGCGCAGGCCCCTCCCCCGCCCTGGGCAGTTCCCGGCTCACGCGAGCCGGGCCTGCAGCCCGTACCGTTTCCTCCTGCTCTTCCCGGGCCTGCGCTACCGGGCGACGCAGGGGACAAATCTCTGCGAAGGCGTTTCCGCAGGGCCCACGTGGCCGCTGTTGCCGGCACGTGGGCATCCGCGGAGAGGCGGGCCCCGCTGCGGTTCCGGGTCAGGCGACACGCCAACCTGCCGGGCTGCGGCGCGCCCGGGCTTTGCTGTGCGGCTGCAGCGAAAACGGGTGTGTGAGCTTCACGACGAGGGTTCCTTCCAGAATGTCTTCCTTTCCCTAACGCCACTACCCTCAGAAATAGCCTGACATCTGTGGGAGAGAGGGTGATGGAATCCGCTCCTCTGGGGAACCAGACATGCCTGTTCTGCACTGA